TGACGTTTGAGAATCAGAGAGCCGCCGACAACAGTTTAAACATTAGGGGAAAAAAATGCATCAATAAAATGAATAGTTGAGTTTCAGAGGGTTAAAAATGGAGCATAAATGAAATGAAACCGTCCTCCTTGGTGATGTGTGACCTCCTGCAGCCTGCTGGACACGGACTCAATCCTCTCGCTGTGTCTGGACCTGTTGTGCACAAAAAGCAGCTCACAGGCCTGAATGTGTCACGTTTTCATGTTTAATCCTCTGCTGGTTGTTAAAGTCACCGGATTCTGAGGATGTGGCTCATTCATTTAATCCTGAAGGAAAACTTTGCACCAGATATTGATCAGAAACAAAACATGAGAGTAAACGAGATGCTTCATAGAGAAGTCAGAAGATAGAAGATGTAGAGTTAAAACCAGACGTTTACATCAGCTGCATAAAAACACACAAAACCTTTTATTTCTCACCGTCTGACATTAAACGTTTCCTGTTTCAGCTCAGTCAGGATCACCAACATTATTTATATTTGCTAAACACCAGAATAATGAGACAGAGGATTGTTTTTAGAGACACTGCATTTCCTGCTACTGACAAACCTTATCGTAAAATAAAAAACTAAATACGTGAAATAATAAAAGGTAAGAAGCGATGTTGTGAATGATTCTCAGGTGGTTAGAGGATGTTGCTCATAGCGAACATGAAACAGACGATGTTGTCACTTAGAAATAGTTTGTGGAAGTTTAGTTCCTTTGAAGACACCTGGAGGATGTTTGACGTCGTGTGTTTGTGGCTTTGTGGTTTGTTTTCTACCTGCTCACAACACAACAGATGCACTCACCTCTGAACACGTCCGGTAAAGAATCTATGAAGTGAAACGGGCCCGTATTAGTGGTGGTTTCATCCACCGGCCAGCAGCACCCACCGTCACCGACAGGAGGCGCTCTGGCTCCAGCATCAGACCTGCTGCAGCTCGAGTGTGTGTGTGTGTGTGTGTGTGTGTGTGTGTGTGTGTGTGTGTTCCCTGCCGGCACAATGACTTTTATTAGTAGACAATGGCGGTGCTCCCCCCTCCTCCTCCTCCTGCATCTCCAAAAAAAAACCCCATGCATGAACACACACACACACACACACATGAACGCACACACACACACACACACACACACACACACACACATGAACGCACACTGCTCGTGCACGCGCCGTGTTTGCCGACATGAATTCAAACTATTATTGTCGTTGAGAAAACAAAGCCGAGGAGGAGGCCGTGCCCGTCCGTGCGCCTTTACGCACACAAGCGCAGACATTCGGGGGGACGACGTGCGCTTTTACGCACAGGCTCAGAGCGGGATTTTACGCACACATGCACACGGACGAGGCTCCGTGACGCACGGCACAGTCACACGAGCGACTGTAGGGGAGTCGTGCACGCGCGTAAATGCCGAAACAGGCAGAGAGGGAGAAGAGGAGAGATTAAAGGCAGCAGATAAAAATGACAGGTTTGCGTCGCGGGAGACGTTAAAGGTCGACGGAGGCTCGGCTCGGAGACGCACAGGAAGACGCAGGAAAGAGGATTTGTTGACAAAATCACCAAGTTGGAGAAGCTCCTCCTCTCCGTGATGTAGCCGCAAGTCGGAACCTCCTTAATTACTAATTTCTCCACATCCAAGCCACGCTCTCTCCCTCCCTCTCCGCTCTCTCTCTCTCTCTCTCTCTCTCTCCCTCCGTCTCTTTTCTCTCTCTCCACTCCTCCATCCATGCATCTCTCATCCTGACCCTCCTTTCTCTCTCCTCTCTGTCTCTCTTTCGTTTCCAGCCCGGATAACGGAGGTGGACGAGCTTGGAGTTGTTGTTGTTGTTGTTGTTATTTTTTTTATTATTATTTATTCCTGGTTTTTTGGGACCCACCGCCACCGGGCATGGAGGATGTAAAAGACCCGCCGACCGTCCACCGGTCCTCCTCCTTCAGCATCAAGAGCCTCCTGCTGCCCTCCAAGTGCGACCGACCGGACTCCGTCGCTGCCGCCGCCGCCGCCGCGATCGTCGGCATCCCGGGGACCCTGTCGCCCTCACCGGGCTCCGACTCTGACAAGTCGCTGGACCCGCCGGAGGTGGACTCCACAGCCGCGGCGCTGGACCCGGAGAAACCGGGCAAGGAGGAGCAGGGGGAAGAGGAGGAGGAGGACGGAGGGGGAGGCGGAGGAGGGGACGGCGCCAAGGCAGCACCGGAGCAGAACACTAACGGTGGCAACAGCGGCAAAAACGGGAAATATGACAAGCCTCCGTTCAGCTACAACGCGCTGATCATGATGGCCATCCGGCAGAGCCCCGAGAAGCGGCTCACGCTCAACGGCATCTACGAGTTCATCATGAAGAACTTCCCGTACTACCGGGAGCACAAGCAGGGCTGGCAGAACTCCATCCGGCACAACCTCAGCCTCAATAAGTGCTTCGTTAAGGTGCCCCGGCACTACGACGACCCGGGGAAGGGCAACTACTGGATGCTGGACCCGAGCAGCGACGACGTTTTCATCGGCGGGACTACCGGGAAGCTGCGCCGGCGCTCCGCCACCTCCCGGGGAAAGCTGGCGATGAAGCGCGGGCTGCGCTTCGCTCCTCTCGGCCTGGGGATTAACGAGCGGGCCAACAACCCGCTCTACTGGCAGATCTCTCCCTTCCTCTCCCTGCACCACCACCACCACCACCACCCGCACTACAACGGATCCTCTCCCGGCTTCCTGAACCAGGCGGCCGGCTACGGCTCGCTGCTGCCCGCCGTGGAGCAGCTGAGCAACGGGGACCTGGGGCGCTCCATCCTCGGCGGGTCAGCCGCCGGGGCGCTGGGCTTGACGAACAGTTACGGGATGAGCACGTCGCCGGTCGGGCTGCTGTCCGGACAGACTGCCGGCTATTTTGTCTCAGGGACCCAACACGCTGCTGGGGCACCGGGGCCGCCGGGAGGAGCGCCGCCGCCGCCTCCGCCGCCGCCGCCGCATCTCCAGCAGGGCGCGCCGGGGTTCGGCGGCCTGGCGACCAGCAGCTCGCCGCAGTCGCTGCTCTCGGACTCGCTCAGAAACAGCTCCCTACCGGCCTTCTCCCCGGGCGTGTCCGCGGGGTTCCCCGGGGTGCTGTCCCATCAAAAGAGGGTGACCCCTAACGCGTTCCTAAACTGAGCTCCCCCTCCTCCCCCTCCTCCCCCTCCGTGGATGGCACCGGGACGAGGGCGCGCACAGACGCCGCGTTAAGGGCAAATAATAATAAAAGTGGTAAATATCGAACACTGAGCGCAAAAAATCTCCATGAAGTGAAACTTCTTTGGCCATATTCTGCCCCGAAGTGCAACGGGTTTATTTTGATGATTATTTTTTCGCATTTTACTGAAAAAGGGACAAAGTTTGTTACCGCGGGTTGAACAACTGTAAACTAGACTTGCCAAAGGTAACTATAAGTATATTTCAAGCTATTTATATCTTGTACAAAGATTTTCAGTACTTCCTTTGAGTCGTTTATTTATGTTTTGTATTTATTGTATGTATAATGTATTTAAATTCTATTTGTCCGTGTACTCATCAGTATTAAGGAACAGCGGGGTGCTGGGGTGGTGGTGGGGGGCTGCACAGCTACAGGGGATAATAATTATTATTTATGAATTTTCAGACAATCAAGGAGGAAAAAAAGACAATCAAAACTTTTTTCTTTTTTTTTTTTTAGGAGGAAAAACTTTTGAAACTGAAAATAAAGAAATAAATCAAAGCGTAAAAGCCTTAAATCAGCAGAAACAATCAGGGTTTTTATGAGAGGAACAAAAAGCCTACAGACCATATCTACTCAGGTTGGACCCGGACAGGCCTCACAACAGCAACACCAGTAACGGAACCGCTCTCTGGGAAGAGTTTCCTTCCAGAAGGATGATGTCCAAACACAAATCATCCTTTATTCAAGCAAATAAGATCCGAGCTGCTGCTGAGAAACAGATTTTTCTATTTTTTTTGTTCTTGCTCCGCCGCCCTTTAACTGAATGAATGACTAAATAAATAAATAAATTAATGTAATTAATGTTTTTGGAAAAGAACTCTTCGTGTAAAATTATGCAAAACTGCGCAGCTGCAACACGAGTTCTTCTGTTTTAAATTTAATTCTGTGTTCATTTCTAAAACCAACATTGTCCCTTTTTCACTTCAGTCGATTTTCTTATATGTGTGTGTGTGTGTGTGTGTGTGTGTGTGTGTGTGTGTGTGTGTGGAGGCCTGTACGTGCGTAAAACATCCTGCGCATGTGCGTAAAAAGGCGAGCGTCTTTTTAAAAAATATATATATTTTAGGGGGAAAAGCGCCACTTTTCTGCCGCCTTGCTGCAGCTTTTCTACCCCGCTCAGCCGCTCCGGCGCCCGGCGGAGGCTGGCGGCTCGGAGGCCTCTGATGGAGCCACAATCAGGCCTCCAGTGACTCACACAGACTCAGAGGCGTTAATAAGTTTAACATAGAGGTGGAGGAGCTGCATCCTCAGCCCTCACATTTAAATTATTATTTTTGCAAATTAAAAAAAATAAAAAATAATAATAAATCCCTGAAACTTTCCGGCCTTCCTCCTCATGGAAACTCTTCATGTCAGTTTGTTTTTATTTGTGACCCAGTCCAGAGCAGCATGTGTTCCCCAAACCTGCACGACAATCAGCCCAACTGGAGGGTTCTGACCCAGCTGCAGTCATGTAATAAGAATAATAATAATAATACTAATATATGCAACTTATTTTTGTATGTTTGATTTGTTGGGGGCCACAACAACAAAAAATAAATAAATGAGCAGGACGATGAAACCTGAGAATCGCTGATGTGTGATGTGCCGATGTTACCGCGGTGTTTGGGTGGACAGACAGCTCGGTGTCGTCCGTATAGATCTAAAAAAAAAATGAGCAAAAAATGGCTTAAAAGACGTGTTTATTACACATTTCATGAAATAATAATTATTTTTTAGTTCTGTTATTTGAAGAAGGTCACAAGTTAAAATAATCTGAATTTAACTGAAGCTCCAGAAGCACCGAGGCGTCCGTCCAGAGTGGACGTACCGGTTCTGTGACTCTGGTTCTGTTTGAATTTAATTATTTTATTCCTCAATAAATATTTTAATAGATTTTTTTTATGACTATTGTTACTCAGACGTCACATAACGAAACGTTCATTTGTGGCTTTTAAAGCAAACAAAGAGCAGAAATAAGATTTTTTTTAAATCAGTTAGAAACTGTTTTATGACGAAAATCCTCTAAAATAAAAAAGTGCATTTAACAGCAGCAGGAGCAGAAAGAATTAAACTATTGATGGCTGTTATTGATCGATGCCTCCTGTCCAGGAACACAGCCGGTAACAGCAGCAGAACATTTAAAGAATTATCTTCATTTAACAGAATCATTTATAAAAAAATAAACAACAAAAAAAATCCTTTCTGTGATTTAAATAAAATCAAGTCGCCTCATCGCTCCAGCGAAGCTGCACTTACAGTTAAATATACGGATTATTATTGGTCAGTTTTGGGCCTTTAATTGCAAACAAACACCAGGAAGTGGCTGCAAAAGAGCTGCAGCCTGGATTTCATCAGAGTCTTTGTGTGTTCAGAGCAGAAGCAGCAGAGCTTCTCCCTTCCCCCCGTTTTTAATTTCTTATCTTATGTGACCTCTGACCGAAATAAAAAACCTCCTGAGTCCCCCTAAACAGGCCGAACTCGTTCAGACGATAAATAAAGGTGAAAATCAGAACATTCTGGGGAGAATCAGAAGCACAAACGTAGTCCAGCAGGTCTGAGCCTCCACGTCCGGCACAACCAGGACCAACAGGGAGTCAAATGATTATTTTGTTCTTTTTGGGTTTGTAAAAAAAATCAGAAAAGCGTTTTGTTTTGGAGGTTTGTTTGGTTTGAATTCTTTTTCTTTTTTGCACTTTTGTAGTTAGCGTTCACTCGTGTGACGTCTGTACCGTCTGTCTGTCTGTCTGTCTGCTTTGGTTTTCAGAGAAACTCAACTTGATTAAAAAGGATGAAAGAAGCTGAACTCGTGCCTGATGCTCAATAACCAAGTGTTTGACTTTTACCTCACACACACGACTCACCGTTAAACCCTGATGTCTGTGTTTAACGTCTACTTCATCAATATTTTCACTTCAGTCCACAAAATGAACCGTTTGTTCCATTTTATTTCTATTTTATGAATTAATTACGGCCTGCTTTATGATTTATCGCACAGAAGCTGTTTAAAAAGAGCTGATTTTATTTATCAGTTTTGATCATTTATTGGTTTTTAAAGGAGAGTTTTTGTATTTTATTTCCTTTCTGACCGTTTCTGAGCGACTCCGGTCCGACGCTCCACCATCAGCCGCATTTATTTACATTTATTTACGTTTATTTTGTTTCTGATGATTTTCTGTCGCTGCGATCGTTCCAGAAATATTTAAAATTTCCTTTACGTGGTTGTAATTTTAGAAAACTGGTTGATTTGCAGTTTTGTGGATGTTTTATGTGCATTCGTTTGATTTTTAGGACGTTTTTGGTGCGTCGTTCATTTAATTTTAATTTAAAGGCTGATTTCTGGACTCTGGTCTCTCACTGGTCGTGTTGGTTTGAGGAGGCTGTTGAGTTGGTTTTTCTGTCACCATTCGACCGTCGGCTCCAGTTTGTGGGTGTGAAGCGTCGGCAGCAGGTCTCTGATCCCTGCAGGCCTCGCCGTGCAGCGCAGCTCGTTATCTTCTCGGCCGAGTTTTAATGATTCCAGGTTTACCTCGTCAGGTTTTTGTGCCTGTTTGCCTGATTTCACAGCCGTCCAGTGGGTTCGCAGAGCGTCGCAGTAAAGCGTCACGTGATTGGTCTCAGCGTGTCTTTATCCACCGACGTTCAGCCCAGCTGACCTAGAAATACGAACAGAGGGAGTCAGAGGGAACCGGATGTGGAGTTCATGTCGTTCTAAACGTCGTGTTCATGTCTCATGGTGGCTGCAGGCCGTCCTGAGCTCCAGCATGAAGGTTTGAGCTGATCCTCAACAACTAAAGTGTGTTTTTAAATGTTTCTACGGCATCATTTTATCTCCTCGGTGCCAATAACCATCAATACGGTTTATTATAAGGAATCAAACCAGGACATTATTCAGCCTGTGTTGGTCCAGGAGGCTGCTCAGTCTCTAAATAGAATAATATTAAATACATGACGATGAGCCAGTTTTAGAGATCTGACACTCCTGTGATATTCTGTATTGGGCAGAGTGTAGCTGGAAGCCTTCATGCAGC